GAAACATTTCAGGCCGACTCTAGAGAAGACTATCGGCACGACGTTAAAGTCACAATTTGCATTCCGATGGGTGGTAGCCTCGTTGTCTCCCATAGAATGGTTGGGGACTATACGCATACACGACTACAAATTGTGCCGCGTCTCGAAAGGAGTCAACTGAGAGGATGAGATGATCACGTAAGTTGTGCGTGTGCTTATCAAAGATATAAGTACATATCGCATGTGCATACGTACACAAGTACCCGTGTATGCAGGATTAAATTAAGAAAGCGATTATGCGAACCGCGATCTCATGGTTGATCTCGCCTAGATTTCGGAAAATCGAAAACGACTGAACGCACGAGGAAAATATGCCACATTCTGATAAAAATTAAATTATTATTTAAAATAATCTTAATCAAAATTTGGTATACAGCGCATTTTTTACATTTCTTTTTAGCAAAAATTTATGTTTAAACGCATTCTTATTTTACTTTAAAACTGATAGCAAATATAGATATCATGATTACTTTGAAGTCGAGCTTGTCTTTGACATAAAATAGCTAATCAAATGTATAATCTTGCTATAAGCTACAAATAGCAATAGATGCTAGATAATAAACGTCAATGTCAGTTGACTTTATTATGATAAGCAAATGTCCCTCGCAGATAAAAAATTCGAGGTGAAAATATATATTTTCCATGAGCGCGGCAGATGAGATGCTCGTGCGAGAATGCGAGTCTGACGATGAGCAGGAAGTCCGTCTTTTTAAATTACTGGCTATGCAATGTCGCGTCAGACAATAAAACAGTAATGACAATTGAATTAATTAAATAAAGATATCTACGAGATGTGCCGTGAATGATCGCTTCCTGCTCCGATGATGAAAAGATGTCGATACCGGATTGCGTTGTTAATAATCGCGTGAATAGACTGTCACACTTTACCGCAACATTGCAATGCGGATGTTCCTGTCATTTAATCATGACAATCATTAGAAAGAGAAAGAATTTTATAATAGATATTTTTTATTAAAAAAAAAAAACAGTATCTTAATATATAATAATGTATAATGTGTATATATAATAAAAGGAGGGTGCAATATTTATAACAATATATATGACGATGATTTATAACAAAATATATGAAGCCCACGTAATCATCATGAAAGTTTAATCAATATAATACTTGAGATATATAACCATTTTAACAGACAAAATTCATTTTAGAGTTGCCACGCTACAATTTTGACCTATTTTTATATTACGGAAAAGTGATTAGTAATTACTCGACAAAGTAAGCATTTAATAATATTCCCTGTAAATTTATGTACGAGACAAAGGACGAAACTCTCCGGTATATCCACCAATCCCAGATCGTCCGATTATCCGCGTCTCATCGTGCCAAGACGTGGCATCGCAGAGAAGATCGACGAGCAGCGTTTCGGGATCGGGTTCCGATAATAAGGTACGTCCCTGACAATCGTGTGCAGGCGTTTTACATGTAATACAAAACCGCAAAGGCACACTCCGCAGGCGTGACGCGTAGCGGGCCTCGTAGAGGCCGCGTTACATGCCACGATGTCATAATGCCCGCGTCCTTTGGAGCCGCTTCTCGCGCGCGAGTTGCGCAATTGCATTTAATAACGTCAGCCCCGGCGCGATTGCCGTGCACGACGCGGCTCTTATGACACTTTAACGGATTTTCACGACGGAACGTGTCGAATAAATTCAGCTGCGCATGAAAACGCGTGTTGCAAAATTTCGGATTAAGCTGCATCGCGACGAGAACAATGAGATTTTCTCTCCCCTTATCCTTTGCGATTTATTTATGATTTATATACTTTTCTCTTCAACGGTTTTACAGGGGTAATCGTAGATGAGGCGACATCGAGCGATGTTCGCAACCGACGAATCCTGTTCGAATGCCTAATATCGTTGTGCAACATTCGAGAGTACACTGTAATATCCTGGTAATTACCACTCATATTGGTTTCGATCACTAAAGATATTTTTATGACACGGCTCACTTTTCACCTCGTGTATAAAATTGCCATTACATTAGCCAATCTATTAATTCTATCTGCTTAGACAGTCATATTTGTCGAGCGTGTGCGGGTCCTCCCACAGTTATTTATACATGCATATATCAATTCATATATTATTATAATTATTACATTAATATCCAATGTTGGATTTCTAAACATATATTTAGAACATTGATAAAAATAGTACCATTTAAAAAAATAGAAAGAAATATTTTTTACTATCCTGGTATTTGGTACTAATAAAAATTTTAATGTTTATTATTCCTTCTATTTCAAATTATTAAAATAAAACTATACGCTCATAAGAAACGACTTGAGTAGAGTGAAATGAAATCCAATCAATCATACGAGATGATATATTAGTGATGTTCAAAGAGAGATTTACATTTAAACATGATTGCGCATGCATTTTGCTGAATTATCATAAACCATCTCGTCCCAAATTATTCGATTTATTTGACCGCTTGGATATTTGTTAAATTGTCCCTTGAGTTACCCTAGTGACGTAATCGATGATATTCTGTGTATCGTACACCTGCCGCGAAGGGGTTGAACCGAAACGGATTTCATGAGGAATATGAGTATCCTGTTAAGATAATAAATAATCGTGTAAAACCACATTTTATGTGTGCGAGACGACTTGATCGAAAAGCGAGAAAAGATACGACCGCATGTAAAGTGCTTTTAATAACTGGTTTGTAATATCCTGCTTATGGCAACTCCGGCGTAAATATCTGTGCACTTTACCAAGTAAATTATGTATTTTATTTTCCTCCTTTCTAACACCTGCGATTCGATTCGCGGCACACTAATTTATTATATATCTGCTTAATTGATTTAATTTTGTCTAAACTTTAATTAATTAAGCAACGCCTATTTAAAACGATTTATAGAAAATATATATAAAAAGGTAAATTATATATAGAGCAAATAATCTTAACTAAAGTAACTAAATATAATTTTTCAAACACATAAATAAATATTTTAAAAATAACTTTGTTATTTGTCTTATTTTTTAGATATATTTTATCGAGATAGATGCATTTTTTATTTTGCAATATTAATTCTGATAAATAGATAAAAATATACAAAAAGATAAATTTTAACGTGTGTATTTTTTAATAGAAAATTTTTATGCAAATTATTCAATACCTACGGAAAAAGATTGAAAACATCATAGTTCTACGTGTTTGCATTATCCTTCAGTTTAGCGATTATAATTTCAAACATTTTTATCCTTGTATCTATCACACACATACACAATCATAGATGCACTTAATTTACATGCAGCAATACATCGACATAAAAAATTAATAATTAGCAACAAGCTCATGCTTATATATTATCATATGATAATCATCGTACGTCGATCATTATTTTCAAGATTTTAGATATGCTCAAAGAGCTCATTATATAAACACAATTCTCAATTATTACAGATCAAACTACACAAACGCGCGATTGAAGGCAATAAAGTGATATTTCATTTTCACTCGACTTCAAACAACAATTATCTAATAAATAATACCGGCAGAATGTTCACACGTGTATTCATTAGTAAACTTGACCCTGCAGTTACTGCATATTACTATCTGCATCTGCGTTAAATTAAAGTAATTAATTGTTATGAAAATTGTTTACTAGAGACAGATGCATATGTTTGTTGATTTTCAACCCAACGATTAATTACAGATATATAATTATCATACATTTATTTTAGTATAAACCAAATTTCGCGGACAACGATAAAATATATAAAATAAATCTAACGGAATTCAGGCTTTGTAATGTAATGCTACCCTAACAAAAAAAAAACACAAAAAAAATCTTATATTTATAAATCTTTTAACATAATAATTTAATTATATAAAAGATGGAACAAAGAGAAATTGCTTGATGAAAAACTTTCTATTATATTTTGTGATATACATAGATGTTACCACAAATTATTAATTTGTAATAAATCTACTAAAATATTAAAATGTCCATAAAACTCTATTTGTTTATTTATTTCAAAAAAAAACAAATAATAAAATTGGAAACAAATTCAGAATTGCAGAGATTCTTTAAGAGAGAATCTTTTTTTTTCTACACAATAATTTAAATTTCGTACTGATTAATTAAGGATCACACACAATCACACAAGTGACACGTAAAAAATGCCGCTAAATCTTTGTTCAGCTGGAAGGCTGAGCGGCGGTAAAGATGGGTCAACCTTTCGCCTTGCGATTATGTAAGGCCTCGGTCTGACTGACCTTTAGGTTCGTTCATGGCATGCGGCATTTACGTAATTTACCGATTACGATATGTATTAGAGTCTTGTGCGCCTGGAGAACAGTTCTCCTTCTAACGCTAATATATTTTTGAATGCGTGCGCTATATATAATGGATCAGATTATAATACGTTTACATGATTTACGATTGATGCATCTAGAATCATGCAAATTTAAACGATGCAACAAACTCACATTTCCGGTGTGATTTTCAATGCATTGCAGAATGGATCGACTTTTTTCGAAGAAAGATATAAATAACAAAAGATGGCTTTTAGAGAGTGAGATAACATCTAAAATGTTATATATATTAATATAATATTCTTAATCTATATATAATAAAATCAACAAGTCTTATATGCGTGTGTGTGTGTTACATGGATATTTAAATATTTTGATTTGATTCTAATCAATTTATTATAAAATTTTATATTTTCCCAATATCCATATATTTACTTCAATGCCATATTTCAATGGAATGCCAACCAACGCAAAATTTATTAGAATTAAAATCAGAGAATTCTGGAACATTCTGCATAAAAGTTTATCGGTCCCCTACACGCTCCTAAAGTTTTGACATTTAAATTGGAGACACCCTGTATAGCATGATTGATAATGAAATAAGAAATATATTCCTTTCTTCGCGCGCCTACAGCGTTCTCTGAGGCAATAGTGATAGTTGACATTATCGACATGTAAAACAGCTGATATTAATCTGCATTTATCGACTGGTGCAATATATGTGTTTGTTTACGAATGTATTTTACACACCACGTGGAACGTTATTGCAATTATTACAATCAATAATCAAGCGAGTCTCGATTTATAACAAGAGTCAGTAATAATTATTGAATGCTCGTACGTTGAAAAAAATGTTAGAGTCGACTATTCACGCGCTAGCAAATGGCAGAGTAATTTTAGCCAGTGGATCTCCAAGGCGATATGATATAATAAAACACTTGGTAAACAATTAAATCATATAAAAAATTTTATAAATATTGTATAAATATAAATAAATAAGATAAAAGTTATGCAAAGATGATTCAAACAAGCTATTAAATTAATACGGATAATATTTATCAGCGTATAAATGCAGAAATAATACCATCCTTGTACGATGAAAATCTTGATAGATCCAAATATGTCAACCATGGAGAATATGTTCAGGACATAGCCAAATACAAAGTGCTCGAGGTATACGAGCGTTTAAAAGCAGATTCACCTCCATTATTGATAATAGGAGCAGATACAATGGTGACAATGGGTGATGTTATTTATGGGAAACCACACAACGAAACAGAAGCTTTTCAAATGTTGTCAAGGTAATAACTTGTGTTAAATTGTACCATGAAATAGCGTACAGTAATTAAATGTTCTTGTTTAGCCTAGCGAATAAGCAACATGTTGTTTACACCGGTGTGTATTTGAAAACGCCAAAAGTTGAACTCAAGTTTTATGAATTTGCGACTGTAAAATTTGGAGATGTGTCCGAGAAACAAATAAGAGAATATATAAAAACAGGTGATCCCATGTAAGTTGTAATGTTATTATTATTGTTAATATTATATTGCGCAACTTGTCTTTGTTATCTAAAAATATTATTTCAGGGATAAAGCAGGAGGGTATGGCCTTCAAGGTATAGGAGGCTGCTTGATCGAAAAAATAGATGGTGATTATTATACTATAACAGGATTGCCACTGTATGCATTGGCGAAACATCTGAATCGAATATTTTCTAATAGTTAATAAAAATAATAATTTATAAGAATATTATATTGAGCTTAGTTGTTGCAGCGCAACTAGTGGTATCAACTATTCCCATATTTCTAATAAATTTTATTACATTAACAATCTCGTAAATTTGCGAATTTATATATTTAATTGTCCTTCTCCCCCCTCTCCCATTTAACTGTCCTTTATAACAGTCATATTTAAATAATTGGCATGCTAATATTGTTAAAAATACAAAGCAAATCACTTATCGAAATTATTCAGCATTATATTTTTATTTATAAAAACTTTTTCTGTGCAATCTATATCAATATATAAAAATTTTTGTATAAAAAAAGAAGATTGAGTTTTTGATATTATACACTTATTTGCAGGCGATAAATATAATTTCAATAATATAATTCTTCGACATAATTTCTTTTTATTAATACTCACGAACTTTGAATAATACTTGGAGCTACATCTGCGCAGAATTCTTTTGGCAAAACGTTCACTGCACGGTCACATTTTTGCACGTCAACGCAATATATATATATATATATATATATATATATATTTTTTATACATAGTACTTGAATATTTGTTCTCAATAATTTAAAATCGTAACTCGCGGCTATGATAAAACAAGTAATTATATAATTACGATAAAAAGCTTCTTTCAATACTCACGATGCTAGATTAAATGTACACCCCGTCCAACACTACGATAACCGCGCACGATATAGGTCTGAACTTCTTCACTTCCGATTCCGTTAGAATACTGTGGTCCGATTTCTAAAATGATGAATTTATATTGCGCTAATCAAACATAACTGTCACGACGTGCATCATATGTGTTAATACCATATTTATATTTGATATCTGCGTTAACACTAATATCTGTATATTCAAATACATATGCCTTAATATCGCATTTAATGGGAACAAGCGCTCGAATAATTCGCGTTAAATGGTAGCCATATTACGTAACAATGCGGAATCTCGGAATCGGAACAGCAAATATAAGATACATTCTGCTTAAAAATATTTCGAATTATTTGATTGATTAATTAGAACAAACCGAATTTGCTAGAAACATATATTTTATCGCTTTCGTCTCATTTACAAACAATATTTTTTAAAGAAATGTTCAATATAAAAAAGAATGTCTCTCTCCAATTTTTTTTAAATTCACATATTTTATGTATTTCAGGACCGTTCTCATTGGTCAATCAAATGCTTTGAAAAATTTTTAGTGTCAAGTAGAACGCATCTATAGACTTATATATTGTAGATGAACTGCGCGCTTCCACTGAAGACAAGAAGACAGCATTAAGTGTCATAAAAAAACGATAAAGAATTAAATGCTTTTTTTGCCCGATTCTTCCTTTGTTGAACAAGAAAAGCATCTGAGTATCCTCTTATTATAATGTTCTTCTTTTTGTTTTTAATGGAAGCGCGACGCGTAGTCTATCTGTGTATATATTGTCTATGTTTATTGTTAGTGGTTTTCGCGCTTACTTCAGTGTGTTGCTCACACTTTCGCGCGTTTTTTTTTATGACGTCAAGACGTTTGTGGTGCTGGTGTAATCGCGATTAAATATTGTGAATATCGAAAACAGTTGATCGTTGTGATTAATACTGCAATCGTTATTTATGAATACAGTGCGATATCTTACTATAAAAAGCATCGGGCGATCGATTAAATTTTATATGTAAATGCATAATATATCAGATCGGTAAGGCGATAGTGTAACGGTTCTGTTAAATAAACTGTGCGCGATCGTTTCAAGTATTGCGTCAAATGTATCAATAAAGTTATCGAGAAATTTAATATCCGAAAATACGTAAGTATTGCCTGTTAATAAGCATATAATATCGAGAGTGCCGAGAAAAGTATCGGACAATCGTCATATTATGATAGTTCCGGTAAGCAAACTCCCTGCGGCTGTAACTCCAATTAAAGAGTAAGTATTAATAAAATCATAGAGAAATAAAATTACTGAAAATATATCATCTGCAGATAAACATGCAGTATTGGAAACGTTAAAAAAAGTATCGAGCAACTGTCGTATTATGTGCAAATACAGTTTAATGCGTCAATAGTTCAAAAAGCTGCGAAAAAAGTTCCATTAAATAAACTTCGCATGACTTCCCATGACTAGCTCAAAGTATTTTTTGTTGAATATATCAATAAATTAATTTAAAATATAT